TAAGTTATTCCCTGCCCAACTCTCCAGCCTGGAACTGGTAAAAGAACAGAATCTGCACATGACATTTCAAGTATGGAAAGCCAAGCTACACTAAGGCAAAAAAATGTTCAACACCATTTACACAAGTGTTAGCCTTGGAATAGGGAAAGGACATCGTGGTAGTCAAAACAGAGCTCTCTTAGTTCAAACACTGTTAGGTAGAGATGAATTTCCTATGGCTTCTTACTGCCATTATTCATTCTGTCACAGCCTGAAGTCATTTCACCACAATTGTGGTCTCAGCAGGTCTCACAAGTCAAGGAAGGTGCTGGTTCATAAGAACCAGTATAGGAGATCTCCAAGGAAAACCTTAGTGCTGCTGAAGCCCAAAAGTGGTATGAGTCACAGCTGGATTAATTTCCAAAACCAGTATGGGGGTTGGGGCAAAACATGGGGTAGCACTATGAAGACCTGCAGCCCATGTACACCTTCCCAAAACCAGCTATTTTCCTTAACTGCTCTAGATATAACCAGGCTTAGTCTCTCTGACTATGCCATGTGGTTCCATTACTGGTGTTGGTAGAGAGCCAGTTTATGACAGTCCTGCATCAGAAACGTATGCCATGTTTCACAGGAGAAATAAAACTGTGGTCAGAATTTCGTGTGTTTTCTTTTTTTTGCAAAACCATGGCCATAAAACTTTAGTATAAAGGGCAAATTCCATAGAAATCCTCTTCTCCCCCAATTTATTTCAGTTATCTGTGAAATACTACATTGTGTCATCTTTGCATAGTGCTGCAGGAACACAATCCAACAACAGATGTGCATTATCCAAGGAAACAACAGAATTTGAGTGCTGTCTTAATAGCTGGTCTTAACTGCTGCAGGATCTCTTAGAGTGAATAGCACTACTTAAATGCCAAATAAGACATTATTTTAAATGGTCTACAGAGCTAAAACCACACAATACCCACTTTCATTACTATGATAAGAGATGCAGCAGCACAGTAACTAACTCATTTATGGCCTTCAAGCCTACCTGTCTATGCTGGATTTGGTGTCTGCAATTTTATTCAGGCTGGAGACTTTGAATCCATAAGCACTTCCCCTTTGGCCCTTGTTCATATAATTCCCAAAGGCCAGAACTACCTCCAGGAGTTGCCTCAAACGTTTGCTTCGGATGAGTTCTTTGGATGCCAGAAGAATGGCTTGGAAAGAGAAAAAAACAATAACAAACAAACAACAGGTTAATGCACTGTGGGACTTTTTAACATGCTTGGGCCGACAATTTGAAGTACCCTAAAATGCCCATCTGACTATTGTCCACCAGATGCTGCAACGTGTTATCTGTGTGTACTGTCCTTCCCCCACCCACACGCCCAGAACCAGGACAATTGGAAGATGCACTACATCTAGCCTGTAGTATTCTTCTCCAAACCAAGGAGCAAGGCCTGCTCTACTGGACCTCACACTCTAAAAACATAGCCAGCAAGAACAGGGGGATAGCTTGAGCTCATTTGAAAATGCAGAATAGAATACACTCACCTTTTCTCTGTGATAACCATGGACATGGCACAGAAGCCATACAATCCCCCTCCTTGTAGGTTAGGTGTTCCCAGAATACAACCATCCTGAGACATCTATTCTAACTGCCCCATGGAGAGGGAAGGTGCAAGGATTTGGGGGTGAAAAGGGAAGACTGGCCTGCACAGAAAGGCTATGAAAGCTTTTGGCAGCTCAGTACAGCCTGCTAGAATGCTGTCACATCTGTCAGGTCATATTTACAGTGTAACAATCATGACATTGACTTTATTAAGTCAACGGGTGAAAAAAGAGTGTCAGATAGAAAAAATTTCTTGCACATGATGTGCCTTGGACTCACTGGCTCTACAACCATAGCACACACGTAACAGCACCTCTTTTGAAGACAAGTCTCTCTTAACCCTCCCTGCCCCTTTACCCAACTCTTAGCAAAAGCTTTAACCTTACCTTCTACTTTTGGCTTTGCTTCTGCCAGCCTCTCTGGAAACTTCTTCTTAAAGAATAATGCTTGCAGCCGCTGCTGATAGTGGTCAATCCTGCATGAAGGGTAGAGGAAAGCCAACACTGAACTGGAACTGCATTTTGAAGCCCAAGGTCAGTATGCTGCCTGTGTAACCTAATGGTTGAATGCTGAGTCTCACAAGGCCTATGCATGGGATTACAGACATAGTACAAACATCTAACACTACCTAATCAACTCTGTTATGAAAATGGAGGACTTCAAGGCATGTTTTGAGCACAAATGGAAATGAGCTGGAAGAATTCTCATTACTCTCAAAATATGGAAGTCATGGGAGATGACAGCTGCATCTCAATTAGCAGAACAAGATGTTAATCCTGATCGGGGGTGTAGCAAAGTTGGAACAAAAAAGAAGGTCAGAGGATGAGGAGATGGGATAGCTGAACTGAAAGAGAGATCTACATGAAATCCTGACTCCTGGCTACACTACATCTGATAGTTCGATCTGAATTCCTTTTTGTGTGTACAAGCTTAGGCAGAGGAGGCAGATTTCTCTTGTCATCCGGGGACTGGTCCTTAAATGACAACACAGAGAGTGCTTATCATCAATAAAACGTTAGTGTAATGAACGGAAACATTTGTAACATTTGTGGGCTTCTGGCAAATGCAAGGTATAATGCTGGCCCACAATCTCATGCGCATTCCCCCTCAGTGTCAGATGATAAATTTTCAATAACAATTACAGCTGCTTCCAAGAAGCCTGCAGTGCATTTTCCCATAATGTATCAAACAGACCTGCTCATTTCAAAGAGGAAACGATCCGCCCGGGCCATGCGCTCAATTTCATGTTTATGCTCCTCCAACAGGTCAGTATCGCTCTTTTCAGGAACGAACTTCAGCAGCTAGAGTGGCAGACAAACCAAAACCAAGATGAGAGATCCAGGGAAAACGAAAAAGGGACAGAGAGGCACAAACAAATCCTGCTAGAAAGAGGGATTTCTATGCTATCACGGCCAAACATTACTTTGACTCAGCTGTGTGACTGTAACTTCAAAAAAGTGCAGCTGTGGCTACAAACTGACCTTTTTTAAACCTTTGCTCACTGTTCTGTCTTTATCCCTCACTGACCCATTGGATTAATTTCTAATTATATGGGGAATTTCCCATTTCTAAATCCTAAAGGCCAAGTGCTACTGCAACTTACCCAAGGGGAAGTACAGAGAGAACTTAGATTCCCACAGCATTACTTGGAGTTTAGATTGGTGCAAACAAGAACAGAATGTGTTCCACTCAGTGTGAAGTACCCATCGTGCCTATCCTAGAGTACACAAAGCCTCATCTATCTCTCGCTTGAGACTGCCCTACTCTAATGAAACAATAAACAATAACCAACCGAATTGATATGTGTCTGACACTGGCTGCTATTCATATGCTGACCTTAAAAGCTCATACTTTGACAGATTTTTGACATATCTGGTGGTAGTTGTGCTTTAGTATCGTTATAAATACTGCCATGCACACAGCCCCAGTGCACACCCACAAAACCTGCTCACAAGGCATATCAATCACTTTGCTTTTTACTACTTTTTAATATTTCATCCCACTCCCCAAAAATGCAATATTCAAAGGTGTGGAGCATCAGAAGTTTGCAGTGACTTCTAGAGCAGCTGTAAGCATTCAGACAGCACAGGCAGGCTATAAATATCCAAAATGGAAAAGCTTTTTGTACACAACTAAACACTGTGACTGCACACAAAGATGGAATCGCATTTGTCAGACAGTTCAGAATTAGAACATTTTGCATACTCCTAAGGAACTTTATCATATGCATCTTTGGTCAAAGCATCACCTTTCACCCTGTATAAATGGGGGAAATTGGGCAATGTTGTTTCTTTTACCCCCACAAGCTATGCAGTGAACCAACTGCAGGGTATGGAAGTCCCTGACTCCCTTTCTAACCATTCCAGTTAGAATGCAAGATCCCTCCTGGTCCCAGCTCTAACCCCTGACCTATGGAATGGCATATCCCAATGTAAAAGCTGCAGGCAGAGATGGGAGATTAAGAAAGCGGGAAGGGATGGTGGGAGGGAAGGGGGGAAGGAACAAATAACAACAACAACAAATAAACAGCAGTATAAAGAAGAGATGGAAAAAAATATGGGGAAGTCACACGTGAGAAGAAAGGACATGAAAGGAAACCTCATGCCAACTGTAATCATCCGTATTTTGCATCAAGAAGAGAAAACTGTTACAAAATCAACCTGATACAAATAGAGTTACATAAGGAAGGTATATTTGACAACACTAGGAAAAATACTTTTCTCGTGCTCCCATGTGCAGCTCCGCTGACATGATAGTGCCAAGTTCAGATCTGCAGACATACCTGCAGAGCCAGTACATATATCCCTTTACTTTAGGTCAAAAAAAGACAGTGAAGGACTTAAGAATAAGATATATCTGACTGTAATTTTTCTCACCTGCTCAAGCATATCTTTCGCTAGGTCTTCTTGTTCATCCATCTTCAAAATTGCTTGTCTGATTTCTTCATTAGACAGCTTCAGCCTTTCAACAGTATCAACAATGTAAAATTAGTGCCAAGCTTAAGTGACTCTGACAATTCAGAAAGTAGGAAGCCTGAAAAGCTGCACTAAAAAGGCACAAAATAACCATGGGAAGCTCCTCTATGAAGCTGCTATTCAGTAAGATGAATGAATCAGTTCCAAAGGCAGAGATTTTCTAGATCGTATATTTTTATCCTCTTCAGCTAATTACACATAAAAATTAGATGGTGATCAATCAGGACCTCATAGATCAAAAGTGCTTCTAACTTCCCCCATATCAGATACCTCTCTCACCAAGATCTCTTGCTACTGTAAATCCCCTCAAATCCATGTGACTTGTGAGTGGGAGCCCATGTTGCAATTCTGCTTTTGCATATTAAATGATGTCCCAGAGTAACAAGTAATGGGACTGATCTTTCCCTTACAGATCTGAGAAAAGGGTTGCTCCTAAGAAGACTAGTTGCGCTAGGTAAGGTCACTCTGTCAGCAGTCACAGCCGAAGAAGAGATTGACAGCTTTTACGTATCCATCTTTCATATCCAGTATGAAACAAGATCTGAAAACAAGAGCTTATTAATATTACTGGAGGTATTAGAATTATACTCTCCTTCCTATCTACCTCTCCATCTGTGTGCAACTAGTAGAGGTCATCAGTTACAAAAAAACCCCAGAAGCCATTAAAAAACCCCTGAAGGTCTTCACCTGAAGTCAGGGCAGACCAGAAGCCGTCAAAATTTGTGATTACCAAGAGGCTGCTTGATAGATTGCATGAAATGAACTTGGTGGTTCTCAGCGCCAACATCAACAAACAAATGTGCAAGTGACAAATTCTTACACACCACCCCCAACCCATGACATCCTCATCAGTCATTTCAGGAGAGTAGGGGAGGACCAAATGAACCATAAAGGAAAGGCTATCCACAAGAAAATCACAATTTTGGGACTGAAACAGAAAAATGTGAAAAGAAATATTTGAGGAGTGAAGTCTGCAGTCTCCATGGACATTCTACAATCAATATAATTAATTAACAGCAGAAAGACAAAATGCAAATATAAATGAGAGGGTGATGCATGAGGCAGAATGTTTTTGTCTTCAGTACTAAGAAATTGCATGGTGAAATTTCACATTTCTATTGCCATTTGGATAGAATCATGGTTTTGGAACTAGGTAAAAGCAAAAGCAAGAGCTTTATTTTTACAGACAGGAAATATTACTAAATCTAAGAAACTTAAAACATTTTAATATTGCCCAATATAACCAACAGCTGGAAACTAAAATATGAATCAGCAGACATTCAAAAGCTTTTAAATATTATGGCTCTGAACTAATTGCTCTCACTGTTCCTAGCTGGTCATTGTGTCTGCTTTTGACAAGGACAGCAAACTGATACCAGCTAAGTAAGATAAGGCTACTGAATTTCCAGAAAACCTACATAGTTGGGCCATGCTTGGATGAGATAGAAGGTTCAGAAGTTTTACAATGAAAAGGCTGGAAACTTTTTACTTTAGATCATCAGTTTGACTCGGGATCAAAACAGCAAACCTCAGTTCATGAGGTTCTACAGTCTTGATCAGAAAACTGAAGGGTTTCTTTTGGCTTTAATAATTATGAATTGTACAGTCCATGACTGTGTGACCCTGAACTGATAAAACCCTGTGACCACATGAGGGCTGAGAAGTGTATCGGTGGGTGTGGGCCTGGCTCCTAGCAGACCCGTATACACATGCCCAGACAATTTGGTGCCTACAGTTTTTAAAGTGCTACATTTTGTTGGTTATTTTTACTTTAGAGAGCACCTTTACATTTTCCAGAATCTGGATTCTGCAGATTAGCTGTCTCATCACACAGACACACAGTCTGTCAGAGACACAATAAGCCAAAGCCATGAACACCAGGGTGCATTTTTTCTTCTTGTTGCTACTCTCACTGAAGATAAAAAGAACAAGGGTGAGTTTCATGTTTTTTTCCATGCAAATAACTCAAGCAATAACTACACTGACCATTCCATTACACAGTGCAAGTCCCTGTGTGTGTGTTTGGAGATGCAGTAAAGAGGACCAAACAGGCAGGTTTGAGGTGCACCAACACGACAGATGGTGTAGCACATATAATTGCTGATCTTGCTGTTCTGTCCGGTGGCCTGAGGACTTCAGACTCCAAGCTGCTCTGCTTGCTGCCATTCATCAACACTAAATACGCTTGAAAACATCTTTTGTTCGAAAATAATTGAGAGCCCTAAGGACAGACAGTTATATAAACACTTTGATTTCTTGAATGATTCTGTGCCCTGCCATCAGCAGAAAAACATCTGGCTTGAATGGTTTAGCCCGCAGTAGAGAAGCAGAAAGCTTGCCAGCCCCTTGCTGAGAAGCAGTTTAACTTAGTCACTTATAGGCCTGTAACAGGGTCTTACAGGCCTGTAACAGGGTCATGGTGCCTGCAGGTGTGCATCTTAGATTATTACCAATCCAATTACAGGTACAGGAGGATCTACAGCGAAACAATCTTACTCTTCCAAAGTGGGCTTGTTCCTCTTCTGGGGCAGGACACGTTTCAAGAGCTGTAGGCTTCAACAGCACAAAACAGGGATCTTCCAAGTTAAAAAACTGACTAAATAACTGGCCAAAGAATTGTTAATCAAGTGATTCTCCTTGTATTTTCAAAACTCATGCCCAGCCATGCAGTAGATCTTAAAGATGGCCAGCAGTAATGTGAAACAGATATGCTGCTTTTAAGCAGAAACAGGTGAACTGATTAAAGAGGAATCTAAAGCAGATGCGTAAAATCTTTCCATTTAGAACTGAATAGAAGCATCCCTCGGAGCCTAAAACTCATATGGGACAGACAGCAAATTAAAGTGGAATTACGGCCCAAAAATTTACACTACAGAAATTACATTTCAGTATCTATTGGAAAGTCTGCAATGACTTTCTTACAAGCTTTGCAGATCCAGGCACTCCTCCTCCAGCTGCTGGATACAACTCAATTCGGAATAGCATACAGTCCAAGCTGTATTCTCTCTGACTTACAAATCACAGATCCTGACATCAGGACTCAGGAAGTAAATGTGACCAGAAGAAAACACAGTGCCCCTTTCCCTCAGCTGCAGCACATTAATTCCTAGTGGAGATATTGACAGTTTCTGTTCAACAACAGCCTGACATTGGTCAGATGAGGAAGGAAAAGGATCTTTACTGAGAATACTCCCTCCTTCTTCCCTCACCCATACATCTGGTGGCAGTATATGGAAGTCCAACTGTTTGAGTCATCTTCAAGCAATGTTAAAACTCAATGAGTACCAAATAACTTCTGATATGGTACTTAGCTTGCCTCCCTCTATCCCCTCTGGCTTCATAAATAATCTCTATTGACTCTGCAGAGTAATTCATCACTAATCTCCCCAGGACACCTCGGCTGATTTAACACCAGCTTCACTTGCAGACATCAAGTGGTTTATTGTTTCGACCTCTTGGAGAAAGCTGGCAGCCTGACTCTGAACATGCCTGGGAGACATGTTGCAGTTTTACATCAACTTCCCTTACAGACATAGAGTGCTTGCTCATTTTCCCTCCTTAAATATACCCATTGATTTAACTCATAGTAACCTCCCCCCTTCATTCCTCCCTCCCATGGATCAAAGCAGAATACTTGTCACTCATTAACCATGTCCCCTCCAGAGGAAAAAATGAGTTACTTTATGGGCTTGTTCTTTGGATCTTGCTTAGCTTTTGAGAAAGAAGCACGTTTGCCTACTATCAGAGAACCTGGAGTTTCACTGCAGCTACATTGAGCTCCCAGACCATACTCATCTCATCAACAGAGAAGACAGTGCCCTTTGGGGACAACAGTTGGGATATTTTACCACGTACATCTTATGCTTAGAGAGCATCTGTCGATCATTTAGTGGCCAGCCCAGCCCTAAACCATGACACCATTATATCAACATGCTGGCAAAAAATCCAGCAGTGCCTTTTCAGCACTTCACAGTGAAAGTATTCTGCTAAGTGCATAAAGAAACAGGCTTTTCTTTTCCTCTTTCAGCAAAAGCCCATGAGTGATCAAGCTACCTTGCATCCAAATACTCTCAATTTCCTACAAAGAAGGATCTGGGTATGGCCATCTTTCTGAGCCAAACAAAGCAAAGTAGGGCCAAACTTGGAACTTCACAAATTACAGTGACATATTGATGAGGCAGTGGTTCACCTTTTATCACAACCCTACCTACTGGTTCCTCGTTGTGATCTAAGACAGGATGGCACTGACTGACGTGCTCAGTTTAACCTTGGTGTTTATCATACTCAGAATAGCAGGTAAAGCTATTTATTGTGCACCTCAACTTTAAACCAGAAAATGTCTCCAGGAACCCAGGAGACACTGTTTATTGCCTAGCATTTTTCAAGACAGCACGCTGAGGAACCGAACTGCTGAGTTCAATGAGCTGTTTCTGTGTCAAGATATGATCTGTACCCCAAAGTAATATATTTCTTGAAATCTACCTTGAAATAAGGGTGAACACTGTATTGCCACATGGCAGAAAGGCACACAGGGACTGAGGGCACAGCAGAGGCAGTAGATGAAGACAGACACTGGCTGAATAGTTTGTCCTCTTAATGTCTGAAGTGAAAGGGTTAGAAGCACTGAAAAGGCACAGCTATGCGAGAAAAATACTCGGTTTTTTTAGTATTCTGGTTGGAAATGCTGCTTCCTTTTCTTCTCAGTTATTGATAGATATCTGAATCAACAATCATGAAAGCCACAAACATTTGGTAAAGCTGCCTGCTAGTATCTATCTGCTGTCATATTTACATTTAAAACTGTTTTTGTGTAATAAGATTCTGCCTTCTGCTACTACTGGTTTTATGACATTTTGCTAGCACTCCTACTGTTTCTAGCCTCTTGAGAGGGTTACAGCTGACTCACTGGGCCACAGGAATAACAAACACATCTCAGAAGAACACTGACATAATGATTTTGCTGGAATTCATGCAAAATAACTCACACAAAAAATTCCATAAGTATATGTTCAGCCTTCTTCTGAGCAGTGTGTCTCAGAGAACTGGACCTCTCCAGGGCATTTCACAGAGCAAGACAGTAAGAGATACATGTCTTAGGCATGTTCTGTAAGAACATGTAAAAATATGGTACAACAAAAACACTAAAGCAGCAAAAATACTACCAGTCACTAAAGCAGTGGAGGCAGAGAGAAGTCATTCTGGTGAGAGGGTCAGAGAAATTTTCCATTGCTAGGTGAAAGCAGGAAAGCACAGGGATCTGGGATGACTCTTCCAGACCACACAAGTCTGACAGTAAATCTCCAGCCTGGTGGAAACTGAAGACATCAGGAAATTCATGAGGGATAGCAGATTTCCAGTGTGACAGAAATAACTGTAGTTTGGAAACACCATTAGGAAAGCCAGATCTGAAGTTGGTGGGTGCCTGGACTCACCACAGACAAATGGTTCCATGTCCTGGTTGAATTGTGGCCTACTGGAAATACTGTGAGATAAACTGATCTTGAGCCTATTCAAACCTTTACAGTTGGCTTATGGGACAGAGCTTCATTTTGGATCCATCAGACTCCATTAAACAAGGACAATTACATCCTTCCACTGCAGGAAAATTGAAAGATGCTGCTATCAAGTAGTTGAAATAGAACTTTTTGATTAAAATAGAGATGAGAGTGGGGAGGAAGGCTTACAAATCTGTTAACTGCCAGCCAAAATCAGTTAGCAATTCAATTTTCATCTCTTTTCAGTCTACCATGCTCCGGTCTCTCTGCAAAAGCAAGCAAGACATCTATTTCTCACTCTAGCTAGGTTTTGGCTTGTTGGACCGTATGAAATATGAGCTCTGCCTGACCCTTTCTAACACAGTGTTAGCAAAACAAAAACATTTGAGTAGTGGAGAGAAAGAAAACCCGACCCATGCAGCTATTTTACTTTAAAAGACACGACAGTTTAGTGTAAACAAAGGGGGAATAAACTACAGGGATATATGCACAGTAAGAGTCAATTGGAAACAGCTGTTGGCAGATACTGTGGCAACCTGAAAGCTGAGGCTGCAGCTCAGGGTCGCACAAACTCTCTTTGTTTGTCACCCGTTTTAAATCCCCTCTCATTGCATGTGTGCACACACACATATGTGCAAGGTGCGCTGTAGGAGTAGCAAGGGCATGGCAGGACCCAGAGATTATTTGGCTGGGAGTGTCTCACCTTCAGGGTTTAAGCTAAAGAATGAAGAAGTGGAGTAATGAAAAAAACTGCAGAGGGGTTGTAAAACCCTTTCAATTATTGTCTGCAGCCAATCCTCCCAGTTGCTGTCTTTAATAATAAAACCATATAAGCACAAAGAACAGACAAAGGCATGAATGTAGAGGTGCCATTTTAGTTCCCAAAGACTGTTGCTTTTCTGGTTGCATTTAAAAGTGAAGTTTGGGAAGGAATAGCACTCCTGGGCCAAGATATAAGATATTTCTGATATCCTGGATGTAATACTATCTGTGACAAATATTAAATTATCTAAGCCAGTGAGAGCCCTGGTGACTGATGTTTCCCATAGCACAGCACAGTGAAGTTAACAGGGCACAGTGCAAACTGGCAGGCTCCTTAGGGACAGCGAGCTCAGTCTCCAAATCTCTATCATCCATGTTAGGCCTGCTAACAATAAGACCAGGATATTTCCTAGTGGAAAAGTTCATGGTCACAAAACACAGCTTTTCACCTCTGGTTTGAGTCCAGACTAGCAGGTTGAAGTAGACTGGCTTTATGGCACATCTGAAGTGACCACATGCTGTGTACCCTGAAGTGCAAGGTTCATGCTTCAATGCCACTTTGCTGGAGGCAGCAGAATGGAAGATAAACCACAGAGACTGTCTTTTCTCACTATTTAGAGCGTATTCCTTTCAGGTAAAAATGGGCCAGACTTGCATGGCAGAAGAGGTGAGTGGTGAAAAACATGTACTGCTGCCATCCACACAGCTTTTGTTTTGAAGATAGAAGATTTTTACAAATGAATATCTAGTGTCATACTAATTCATGGACCACCTTCCTGGATCCTCAGACCAGCCACCTGCACACATTATGTTACCACTTCTAGGAAATGTTCCACCTGATTACATGAGTTAATCTGCACCTCACACACAATTTAGCAGGTCTGTCAAACAGCATGAAAATCCTGTTGCCCCTATGCCTCCCCATTTCACTGCCCCAGCCTGCACTCAGCTGCCAACACTAGCAAAGACATGTGTTGGCAACTGCTGCAGAGAGAGAAATGTAAGCCTTCCCTCATTGCTGGTTTGGATGGTGGGGGTCCTGCTGACATGCAGGCTAATGCCACATAAGCAGCATAATGAAAGCCTCCGTGGGTTTCACTAAGCAATGGAAAGAACTTGCTCCAGTCCTGGTGGTCTGGCTGCAGCTTTGCTTTTAACTGTTAGCTTGCTAGAGGAGACAAGCAATCACATCCATATGAACCTGCATTTTCTATTGATCAATGAAACAGTTGTATTGCTCAGTACTGCCACAGTTTTCCCAAGTTCTGTCTTCAGCTTTGCTGTCCCTCCTCTGGTAGGAAAGGCAACTTTCTCAGGTGGATCAGCGTCTGCACAAATTTGATATTTAGTGACAAACATTCAGTCCAGAACTCAAGGTCATCGACAGACATGAAAAGCATCTAAAGGGCCCTGATGTCAGAACATTTGAAGCCGTTTGTCATTGCAGGACCATGAAAAGGCAACTCCTGGCTTCCCAAAGCTAATTTACAAATACAGACCTAATTCTTGAATATATCTTATTACATCTACCTCTCCTCAACAGGAGTGAAAAATGACCAAAATGAACATCACTGTCAGCTGTGCTGTATTCCAGGGAAATGCTAAGAGCAACATTTAGAAAGAAACATATAGAAGAGAGACAAATGACATACACAGAGCATGGGGGACACATCACTTAGAGTGAAGTGCAATCACTGTCAAAGAGCTGCTTTCATCTACCTATGAGTACTGATAGTTTTCTGCTGATGAGTCTTGAGATGCACCTTGGTGCCTATTTGTTTAATACACAAAATGTGTGTGTGCATATGTTTATTAAGTGAGCTAACACTTCAGAGAGACGTGCTGTTATAACACTGCAAGAGGCGTTTCTCTGAAGCTCTGCAGGTATTAGACAGCAGGTCTAGTTGGGAAAAGAAACATGTCCACTTGTTTAATTCCATCCGCTCTTGCCTCCACATTGACCATGGTGTACCCTGTGAGCTAAGGCTTAGCACACTTACTTGGAAAGGAGAATGACACAATTCTGGGCCCTCCGGCCATCAATCACAGAGAGCTCTTTCACTTTTCGTGTGGAGAGGTAAAGGTCTTCTGTTGAACCCATCTCTTTCTGCACATAATTCAAAAGGGAGGGAAAACAATCAGTATTATGTTTTTGACCCAAGACTGACAGACTTAGCTGAGTATAATGAGCAAAACCCATCCCAATCTGGGAAAATCCACCCACATGGTGAGAAAAGGAGACAAGAAGGGCAGAAAACATGTAGGTAGATCCTGTATTACTAGACACACAGAAGTCATTCATTACCACCTGTGAGATCATCTTTGATTCCAAATACCGGACCTGATTCTGACCTATTTGACTCATTCTACCAACAGTTACTTTATTATGCTAATGTGCAAATCTGGCATGACAGGAAAAAATCGGGCACATTATGGTAAAGCCCACTAGTGACACAGCATATCTTTCAGCACCTGCCTCTTGCAGAGGTTACACAGCATTCTTGAAAGGCTGCAGCACAATCAGGAAAAATCCTTCCATCATCTATTAAGGCTGCTACTGGACCAGCCCAATCCATGTTATAAGAGAGAATAAAACAGTAAGGCAAGATAGCATTTATCTTACTAAATGTATCTTGCTAAATAGTCAACATCTACATCTGAACTATCCTCTCTTTTTTATATTAATTAATACCTTTAATCATACAGAAACCTACCTTTTTCAAAGTTCTCTGCATATCCCTATTGCCAAACTCATAACCCAGAAAAAAATGCTGGAAAATCTCTGTCCAAAATGTTTGACACACCACATACAGAGAAACTATTTGAAAGCCCAGCCTGACCATTCAGAAGTCTCTGTCTCCTTGCCCTGTCTACACACCAGAGTAACAGGATTTGTTTCACTTCCACAGATTGGCTTTCTGTAGTTACTTTCAGTATCTTTTAACACCATTCCTTAAAGGGAAGTAGAGGTAATGATAAAAGGTTAATAGCTCTCTAGTTACCAACAGAGAAGAGAGAATTGGATACAGACAGTTTTTATTTTCCCAGCTAACTGCTGCTGGACCTCTTCAAAAATGCCTTTCCATGATATCCATATTTTCATATCTTGAAATTTACCAGTATAATCTAAATTTGAATGCAATGTGACTTCTTTCTTAGGATGTAACAGCAAGCATGCTGAGTCAGATCAAAAGGTCAATCTACTCCAGTAGTCCCTGCGAGTGGTCAACAGCAGATACCCAGAGAATGGTGTAAAAGCATGGCAAGCATACAGTGGTGCTTCCCAAAATTCACTCCCAGGACTCAAAGTTCTGCTGCTCAGGGCTTACTTATATCAGCATGACTAATCCAATCCAAGAGATTTTGACACCCAAATATTTGAGAGTCAAATGTAAATCATAGATTCATATTCCTAGTTGCCATTTGAGTTCTTGAAACAATCAGCTACAACAAGACTGTGTTGCTTCTGGATATACGAAGAATTCATACAACCATATCCAAATGTGCTGCAGTGAGCCACCACCAATAGTAAGTGGCATTTATAAGCAGGTACAATGCACCAGCTGAAGATATGTGCACAATAGTTCTGCTGGATGTGCCCAAAGTGTCTAGCCTGGAAGAAAAAATTACTTGTTGGTCTGTGCTCTTGTTTTTAAAGCTTTACTGTCTCTCTCTAGCTAAGGTTTGCAGACAAGCACATCTGCTTAGTGTTAACCAGCATCCATCCCAAGGAAAAAAAAATTGTTACAGGGTTTGGCTGTGTCTGTTGGGTAGGGGTTTAGACAGCTTCCCCTAAAGCCATGCAGCAGGGATTGGTAAAGTAGTTTCTATGTCATTTCCAATTCCTCAGCCCACAAGGTTCAATACAGATGAATAACTTGAACTACTCAGATGTGGCTCACTCCCTGGTCATAAGGAGTGGGCTAGTCTCATCTAAAAATATATTGTCTTCAACACATACTGGGGAGAGAGATACTTATAGATACTTGAAGTTGTGTATAAGCAAAAGCAGATGAAGCCTCAGGTTTCACCAAAGCCAGACTGCAATCTTAGCTGAAGGAAAACAGATTCCATATGGACTATCTGCATTTTCTTTGACATAGAAAACGAGGAGCAAGGGGGCAGTAGTCACCAGCTTTTGTGAGATAGGCCAAGCACACAAAGGAAGAATAGTTGGAGCTGTTGTCAGCTTGACAGACAAGATCCTTAAGTTTTGTCCCATCATACTTTACCAACTTTCCATCTCGGATAACATTATGTTATGTGCTTCAAAGAGTATTTCAGATTTGAGATTTTAATTGCAAATTCAAAAATCAACTAAAATTTCAGTGCTGGGATGACTAGACATGTGGAATGTGTTCATCATATTGCTGCCCTGTTTCAAATACAGTTTGATTTTGGTTATCTGCAGAACCTGTGGTCTGGTACCATGGAAGCACCCTAGGTTCCAGTAATAATCAATACTTCAGGGAACCATTTCTGCCATATTGACTTGTTTCATGGTGTGCACCGCCACGATGAAAGCTAGTAAATGGCCCAGAGCCACGTACTAGCCTCATTCAGTGGTAGAGGTCCTGACCATACTTTCCAAATACAGTTCCCTGAGCACTCATGGTGAGGACTACTGAAGCCACCAGAGACAATTGTGATGAAATCTGAACAATCCTTTTCTGAAATCATTGCTCTTCCCAAACATGCTGCCAAGAATTTTGCTTAAGATGATTAATAAATTGAGGGGTAGCCAGTTTGAAGACATTCAGGCAGTCTGATACCTCTACTTCATCTAAACACCATTTCAGTATTTTGCTGAACTTTCTGAGTGTTTCAGCAGTCTGAAATGAAGTAGGCTTTCCTCCAGTCTAACCCTCCTGCTCCTCAGCTGGTACAAACGCTTCTGCCCAAACAAAGTGCCTTCTCATTCTACAGAAATGTTTTCTTTATCAGAAAGTCTGTGGCTAGTGAATACATCTGGAGACTTAAGGACTGTCCAAAGCAGATGGAAACAAGGAGTAAGGCTCCCTGAGAGTTCCTTTTGTTCTTTACTAAAGAGACTATTACTTCAGTTAAGGAAGAGTTCAAATTCACATTCTACTTTGTCTCTGTTCTTTTTTCCTCAGAATCATCAAAAAGAGGACTACAGACATCTGCAGAAACCATAGTGAGGTTATAACTAAGTGAAAACACAGGAACTACTTCCTACCGCAGAGCTAATACAACTAAAGGAATTTTTTGTACCACCTTCCCCACCCAGAAAGCAGAGGTGCAAGACTTCACCTTCCCATGCACTGCAAGAGGCAGACAGTGATACTCACCTGCTTACAGGAAGAAGGGTTAGTTAGCAGGTCCTATGCAGGCAGCAGCCACAAATAATGAAGAAGAAAACATGCCAAAAATTAGTCACAGAGAAAGATATCAAGTTTAACAAGGCAGCTGAATTTGGACACACTGTTTTCTAAGAGAATAAAACGCTTAGCAAGTAATACTGGCCCAGATAGTTCAAAGGTATTTCAGCATTTTTTTTTTGCATATTTTAAATCAGCACATGGTGGGGAATTAAGAGTTCTAGGTCCTTTCTGAAAAAGAATAAATTCAGTCTCCAAAGCATAAATCTTCTAGGTCTTGAGACATTAACTAGGATAATGCTTAAATACCTTTACAAGTCTAGTCTGAAGCCTTACTGAAAGAACTGCCAAGGTTAAAACTTGAGGGTCAGTTCTCCTCTCCTGATGCGCAGGCACAGTTTGCCATTATTCCTAAAAACTTGTTTCAATGGTACGTTATACCCTTTAACAACTTACAGCCAAGAATTTTGAAAGCACTCTCTAACCACTAAAGAAGTCTTACAGCTCTACTGGGTGTCAGACATCAACAGTTTTGCAACATATTCCATACTTCAGGAAAACACTAGCTATACTGAATCAAAAGGTCAATATTACACAGTAAGATTGGAGCAAGGCCAAAAGACAAGTATAAGACTTCTTGGTCCAGCATTCTATACACTGGACAATTCTGCTCTCCCTCATAGTAACCAAAAATGATACACTGGGCTTGAGAGAGGAGAAGAGACCCTTTGTCACTGAAAAAAAATGAAGAAAAAAGAAAAGCTGTTTAATGTAAATGAAACTGGAAAATAATACGAAGATCATGTTAATAACAGCAAAGAAAGAAACGTCTTCATCTGTACTCATTCAACATTTCAGATGCAAAAGAGCAGGGCTTTCTGTTGACATTTTTCTTTACAGACATTTGGATGAAGTTTAAAAGTCACAAACCCAGGGTAAACACATACTTGGCCAGAGTGGAGTGTTTCCAAAAATTAAAGAGGAGAAAAGACTAAGTGTGAATCAACTGGAAAAGTTCTCATAAGATTCTGGTTCAAAAGCAATTTTGGTTGCCTGGTCTTTAAAAAGAAAAAAAAAGAAAAAAAAAAAACAGAAAATAAAATTGATGAGGACTATGGATGAAAAAGAAAATAAAACAACGGAATATTTAAAGGAAAATAAAGAAGAAACCAAAACTCTCAATGAAATCTAGAAGGGCAGCAATATACCTAACTACACAAAAATAGTAGCTTACATAAGTGATACTCTAGTGTCTGGAGCCACTGTCATAAAGTGTGTTTAATGCGGATGAAAGAGAACTGTACTGATACCCATGGAGGTCACTCTGAGATGATGGCTCCATTCCAGTGGGCAGGGAGGGTTAGGTTAGCTTATGGTTGAATACACCAGGCTGCCGTTCAGTGATTGGTAACAGAGCCATAAATATTATGAGTCTAACCAAGAGCTGACAAACCAGGATAGCTTTGGCGTTGGATTCTGGGGCCCAAAGGAAGCCAGACTTTGCAAGGTCATTTCTAATGAGGAAGTTGTAATGTTTGCACTTGAAACACTGGAGTGGCACCTTGATGCTGCAATGGCTACTCATGCGCACAGATGACACTCTGGCTAATTGAAAGACAACTGGGAGCTCACCATCACGGCTAAGCTGTTGGCACAGGGTCTAAATCCAATCTCATAACAACACTGAAATTTCATGTGCCTTTCTTCACCTTTATGAACTAAGCTCTTGTTTCAGAGAATGGGATTCACAGAAAGATAGAAGGACCAACTGAAACAGCAACAGCTATTTGCAGGAGCAGAATGAGAAATGAAATCTCATAATGCAGCAGGTAACATCACATTCTTCACAGTTCAAGTTGGGATGTTTATCTAGATGGCTGTGAGCTAGTAAATCAGAAGAGTTATCCATCAGGTTTATTGGATTAGATAGAAAAATGAGAGAGAAAAGGGAACAGATGGACAGTCCAAAGACAAAGGGTTTGTTTGTTAACTTTAAGGTATTGAATAGGTTAATCATAATGACAATGAAGTAGTCATTATCACTGTAAGGCTTAATCATAAAGGCTGCTTATGGCAATCATGTCTATGTTTTTTCATAAAACTTCAGAGCAATGATCCAGTTCTGCAGAGTACAAAAGACTGAATTTCTCCAAACACATTCCAAAATCAAAAGAAAGCTGAGGGAGTTCAGGGAATGCAAGTACAATCCCTCTCCTGCTAAATCTCATTCAGCCGAGATAGACAGATTGAAGGTGACTTGCTTTCCAAGAAAAAGAGGAGAGGAAAAAGACATTCTAATAAATGGCTGCATTTAAAGTATGCTGTTTGTCCAATAATCTGTAATTCAGACAGTTTCTGTCACCTAGCCAGTTGGGTCAGTTGGCCGTTTAAGAAAAAATAGACAAAGCAAAAAGACAGCTAATTCAGTCACCTTTCTCAGTGTTCAGGCAACTACAGACTTTTTCTCTGGATGAATGGAAGAAATAGAAAAATGGATACCAAGCATGAATGGAAAGGTTTTGGAAGCCAGTGGCTGCTGAGATCAAATACAGCATTACCTGTTGGGAGCTGTTGTCTCTGAGACTTGCCCATTGCTAAAAAGTATGTTGATAACATACTCTGTTGATAATATACTCTGCCCTCTATGTCCTCCCCACTTCTTTTGGTCTTGTGATATTTTGAACATGGCAAAGCAGCAAAATGATGCAGCTTGACAGCAGGTGGACAAGGGCCCAGATCACTGTCATGTGTTCTTTCCTTCTCCAGAAATTCAAGGAAGACAAGATGTGGTAGAGTTCATTCCTACCTGGTGTCTCTGATATGCAGAGAACATCTTTTCAAAATCTTCTAGATCCAGCACCTTGAATGCCTTTAAATCATCAATCTCATTCCAGATTGTGCCATGGATCCTCTCCTGAAAGAAAACATCATATTTTAATGAGATAGCAGAAGTTTTTGGCTAAGAACATCCAATCCCATTTGGACAGACCATTCTTTCCTGCTCACCAACCATATTCCTATGTACTATTGCTATCATTTTAGAGGGCATACTTTGTTTCAAGTGTCAAAGGATAAAAAAATAGCAGTGTGTTTTTGGGTGTTTTTTTGTTTTTTGGGTTTTTTTTAAACATACTGAGTATTTTATATTTTTCATTACAGCAAGCTTCTGATGAAAGGGCACATTCCAAGTATAGCAGACCACATCTCAAGCAATATCCATGATTCCACAGTATGTTTCCTTTCAAGAGTGGCCATCTGTCTAACAGAATGATTGTGGTTATGCTGAAAGAAGTGTTACCATCATGAGGAAAAAGCTTAGGAAGGGCACTGATGCATGACAAACCCCAGAGACATCTTCCCTTCTGGAAATTTTGCCAGGTTCTGTTGTAAACCCCAAAGGGTGTGTGGTTTTCATTCTGCTTGCCTGTGAATGTAGTTTAAGATTTTATTTTATTTTACTTTGAAGGCCCTGAGACTTTGAAGTCTAATTGTTTCCTATTACATAATCTCCCCTGTCTACATGAGCTCTTTGTTGACTCCAACAGACACAAACTATACCTAGATCTCTGAAAGAGCATCATCCACACTAACTGGAAATATTCACAACCCGTGTGATACATTATCCTGAATGCCGAGGAATCCTAGCTGTCTAGCAGATGATTAGCATGAAGGGAGACAGGCACAGACTCCTCCTCCAACTTTGCTGTCCACCAACCCTGGACCAAATAAGTTCCTGTAGTACATGGATAAGCTAATCAGCAGTCACCCTAAACTAGGAGAAGGCCTTGGAGTCTCCTGCTGACATTCTTAGGACAAATATCCTTGCTAGCATAAAGGACACAAAGATTGAGGTACCTTCCCTGTTCTAGTGCCCGTTAAGCTACACGTTTTATAGGATAAGCTTTGGGCAATTACCCATCCAGAAAAGGCAAACTTGCTCTTCACACCTGACCACACCATCATTACACTTCATTTAGTTAATGAAGTGTACATTTATTGTACTTTATTAACTGGAAGAATAAGGAAGGTGCTGATTAAAAGAAAAAGGAAATGGACAGAGAGGATTGTAAAGAGACCTAAGCAAATCCCAGGAGATGAAGAGCCAGCAGAACACTGATGCAGAGAAAGCCAGGAACAGCAAGCAATAGCAATGAAACCCTCACACAGGCTCCAGCCAGCTCTGAAGTACCTGCCTTGTACCTACACAGCAAAGTGCGTTAACACTTCATTATCAGAACTAATTAGGAACAAGCTCTACTTCCCATTCACAGTCATCAAAGCAATGAGGGAAATGTGCTAAGCCACAAGGCTCAAGGTGCAAGGAAAAACACCTGATGGGAGGATGAAATGAGGAGGAAATAAAAGTGTGAAGTGTTCTGGAGGAAATTCCTGGCAGGGCAGACTCTGTGGAGGAAAACCAACACCCTCCCTCCAGAGGCAGCCTGTGAGTGCCTGAGGGGAAGGAGAGGTGTCTGCAGTGCTATTTACACTGAAAGCATAGGCTGGATGGGAGCAGCACCCATCCCTGAACAGGCTCACCAATGTTATTATATCATTCCCTGCAATCAGTGTGGCTTTTCTTCCCATAGTAGGAAAAAAACCCCTGTGACAATGTCACTGTAACATGACAAATGAGTTTGGGAGGCTCATCTCAGCCTCAGATGAATAGGAGACAATTAATTTTCGTTTTATCCTAACCCTGGACTCTACTGCCAATCTTAGCCAAAAGCATCTGGGCAGAGTGTTCATTCTCATTCAATTTCCAGGCTGGCTTTATAAACCTTGAATTATAAATCCTGAGGGATACATTTGAACAGCAGAGCAATTTTCTGAGTTCCTCACTGTTTCCGATTGTCCCATCAAACACTGAAATGGAGGAGTATTTCTTGACAAGAGCCAGTGGATATGATTTCAGGACCAGTACTCTAGTCATCATTAGGATAGAGCCCTGAGGATGCCAAAAAGCTATCTGCTGTGTTTGGCAGAAGGTTGGATGTGACTCAAGAGACAGCTACTCATGACAGTTATGCCCATCTACCTATCTGGCTGCAAAATTCTAATGGGAGTGAAGTTTCCTCACAAAAGGCAAGAACAGAAGAAACATGCTACAGATCAGGCTAGTCTGAGTGAATTGCAGAGGTGCCAGAACAGGCAGTTCTGAGGTTCACAGAGACTGAAGAGAGTAGTTCCGGTCCATAACTTTCCCAGAAAAACAACTCAAGGAAGTGAAAATTACTCTCATTTCAATTCAGATTCATTTTAAGACCTAAGTTGAATCTTGTCCTGTACAGGATGGTTTGTATGCCACTTGTAGCAGAAAGACAAATTCCAGAGCGGCACCCATTGCAATGGTGTGCACAAACAGAACTTTGACCCAAGCAAACCAATTTTAGTGCCTAAAACCTAAGTGGGCTAATCCAGTCAAAGAAAAGATGAGGCAGAAAGAGGCATAAACAACCTTTGTTACACAAAACACTTGCAATGGGGCTCTCCCTTCTATTTCTGCCCTATGCTCTGCCCTTGAAAACTTTCATGTTGCTGCCAGATAATTTCCTACACTGAGCTCCTGCTACTCAGTTATGGATTAACTAGCTGATAGTTCCTTGTCATCAGCCAGAGAGACTGAGCGTTTTAAGAGAAATAGGCTTGTATAATGTGGTTTCTATGATAAATGATTCCCTCAGCACCATAAAAAGTATTTATGGTCCCTAAATAACAATTTAAAAATAAAGTAAATTCTTTATTTCTTTCCTTTTTTCCTCTCCTTAAAAAGGAAGAAAAAAAAAGAGGAGGTCACTTCATCTGTAGCATGCTTTTCTCCTCATGGTTATTTATTAATTTATTCATTCTTTCTTTTATTCATTCTACAAGTCTTCCAAGATCTGTGGTTCCTCTGCTTTGAAGTCTTGGCCCCCTTTGAGCAGCAAATCCTATGAACCACATTACCCAGCATCCTCTAGCAAAATGGTAGTACATTCTAGGTAAAGAAGCATCTTATGATCAGAACAAGTATTGACAAGGCATTTGCTCCGTCAAGCTGAGGTTTTTTTTATGTTGCTTTTAACAATTTGCTCTGCTGCAGTTATGTCATTCCACTTCTGTAATGAAGCCAAATTTGCGGAGACCTACCAAGATTATAGAGTAACAGTGTTTCATGGAGCTACCCGTCATATGGTTGGACTCCATGATCTTAAAGGTCTTTTCCAACCAAGTGATTCTATGAAAATGACAATATATCAAGCTGTCCTCTGCTTCATCCTGCCTCAATAACCTCACAGCATAAGTGAAAACTTACAGTACTTTGGGAAAGCCTTTCATTTGTCCTGCAGGTCCAGAGAACTCATAGAAACTATGAGTGTCCTGTGAATACTGGAGCAGGCAATCCTCCTTATTACTACATTATTATCTGTAAAATATTATCCATCAAAAATTGAAGCAACTTAAAATTTTAATTGATAATTCCATTATGAATCAGAAAAAGGGATATGAACAAAATACGCTTTTCAAATTTCTCTCTTGATATCAGAACCTTTCCTCAGTGTAAGAAAAATTCACTTTGAGTAAAAATCATATTTCTGGCATGTTTTTTAATTGAGACAGTTTTTATATCTCACTGTGGACAAGGCACCACCAAGGCCATTATGAGTAGCTTCACACTGAGATTTTGTAGAAATCTTCCCATAAATTTTGAATTTCTGGCAGCAGTCCTGCATTCTTGTTTGTCATGATCCTCAGGCTGCTTTTAGGAAGAAAGTTCCAGATATCAGAATCATCAATAACACTACAGAAACTTTTTTGGGGTAAAAAAAAAAGAGCATCAAAATGAACATTTTCTGTTTATGTGGTTGAGGTTGTTTTGGTTTTGGTGGTGGTCTCTGTTTTGTTTTGTTTTTGTCTTTAAATCCTATGTGGTATGTAGAACAAATACCTTCTGAGACAATTTTACCCAGGTCTATTAAGGGCCAGCTCAAGAAAGCCCCTTTCAGATCATTGACTAGAGTTATTTCCAGCCTGACTTTAATGGGAAGCTGCTTCTTCAGCCATGAGATAAGCAGCTCAGTGAAAAGTTGGATTGATTTACTCCAATAACTTCAACTCAGTATGTTTATATTTATTAAAGAGGTAATTACATTAATCCATACTTCCACCATGCTTGAAACCAGCCCATCATTTGGATTGACCATAAATGTCTGGTCCTTGTTTGACCTTGGGTGTTTTGTAAAATTCAAAGTAGGAGAGCAAACTCCACTTGCTGTTCAGAAACAAAGAAAGGAATCTTTCCAGGACGTTACAGTGGTTACATTGCAATATCTTTTTCTTAAAAACAGAGCTGCTTGGCACCAGCACTACTGTAGTGCTGTATGAATGGAATTCACAGATGATGCTACAGTGCTGTATGAATGGAGCTGTGGTGTGGAAGGGCTTCACCAGAACTCAGCCCATCCATGCATCTAGATGGCTTTGCCACTGATCATCAGCTCACAATAAAGGCTAGTACAAAATCCTTAACTCTCAAAGGAAATTAGCGGGCAATTGGAGTTTCCTTGTTAGAAGCACAAATACTTTCCAGTCAAACCTTTTTTCATGGTGCTTATGGGAACTGTGGACAATCTGTTATTATCAACTGCTAAGGGTTTGAATATATTTGATCATTCTCCTTACACCCAACAGCTCAGTCTTTCCCTTCCATAGACAGTATCAGAATTGGGAAAAAAGGTGTCTCATGAATTGCCCTGGAGAACAGCCTTGATTCCACTATGGAGAAATATCACAGACAAATTCCTCTTGGCCAGCCCTGTCCGTACTCCTTTTGGGCTCTGTTGGCTTTCTCTCACTCCCTCATGGAAGGCTGGATGGACAGAAAGGGGTTAGCTCTCATGATCTGCCTCAGTCCTAGCATCATCCTCACACTTACTTAAGAAACCTTAGGTGACAGACTGTACTAACTGCTTTGAGAAGGATAGTCCAAACAGTATGCAGAGGTACCTAAGAGATGACTAATGCATTTGACCTGGCTGCAGCTATAAATTTGTGTACAGTAGTGTTTCCAACACTGCATCACCACACCTCTGTGTTGGACGGTGCAGACATGCCTGTGCTCTTTGCTAACTAGACCAGTCTTTTAAAACAGAAAAGCATACACATAACGTCATGTGTATTTTTCCTCAAAATGTTTTCATAGGGAAAACTTGTATTCACAGGAACTGGAAGTTAAACACTACCACAAACCATAATAATACCATGCACACTTCCAGGCCTCAGTTTCCAAGGCTCAAGATGTGCTGCTCCCAGCCAGTGTGCTTGTTATGAGTCTTCATTCATTCATGCATGGCTACTTTGACAGTCCACGAGAACACCACAGGAGTGTCGCAACGGTAACAAAGGGCAAGATGAGGCTGTCCAACCTACTGGTGACTTTGCATTCAGGGGACTCATATCCTTGTAAACAGAAAGAGCGTGACTTGTACTGAAGCAGGGAATCTGGGATAACTGACAAAGATGGCCAAAATGTATCGCCTCCTCCAGCAGTCAGTGGAATTAAATAATTCCATAACAAAGTGCACTCCAAGTAACAAGGCAAGCCACCCGCGTCTGCAACAGAACCTGTGCAGTTTTGCAGAGACTTTACTAGGTCAAAACACTAACACTGGCAAACACCCCAAAATGAAACTCCCACCCACTTATGCTCCTTTTTCCAACTATTCTGGTTTCCTCAAAAATAGCATCTTTTACCCACTTCACCACCCAGGTCTTCAATTTTATTAACACAGCTGCCTTCAGTCCTAACCAGAGGGCAGGATAAGCCTACAGTTACTGTACACTAAACAGAAACACCTGTGACTCCCTTTTTCATATACATTCACATATATACATATATTAGTTATTACTTCTTTTCTTCAGAGCACTAAGTCCCATGTTCTGCAAAGGAAAATAAACCCCCATCCTTACATTCTCTCCCACACCCCCCACATGGCCTTGACAGACAAGCACAGACGGTGCAGCAAATATTTCACTTCTCTTTATTTTAAAGAAAAGGAGAGAGGGGGAGAGAGAATTCTTGTGGCATTCCAGAGGTCCCTGGACACTCATTCCAAATGCCGGAGTTGGGCCCTGGGTGAGTTTCAGTCTAAAAGAGAACCTGGGTTTCTAGGCAGCCATCCAAACTCAACACAGACACTTTTTTCTTTCTAAATCAGTTTAAAAAAGTAAGACCTAAAGAGAAGGAGAGGGGAAAAAAAAAAAAGACAGGGAAGGAGGAGAGAGAAGTGAAGGGGAAGGAGAGCCAACCAAGGTAGCAGAAAATGAGTGCATCAGGAATAATTTAAGTCCTCTGTTTTTATTGACAGTTTAGAGTTTAATCACCAAGAGAAAGAGTTGTAACCATGCGAGGAGAAGAGCAGCTTCCCTCGTGGCCATGAACAAATGGTGAGAAGAATCAAGCAACCTTTCGTTCCTTGGTGATGACTTCTTCCAGGGCAGAGGGGGCTGGTTTTGAAGCTGGTTCTTACCATGTTTTGCCCACATTGGCTCTGGACAGCCTTTTCCCTGATGTGCAAGTGAGGGCAGCCCTGACATGCTAGTCCTGGAGACGTTCAGCCCTGGCTTAAGTATTCTGGCCCACTACAGCTTTGCCTAACAGATAGCATGCCCAGGTCTACTGCAGCTCAACCTAACCAGTGCCTTGGTCATCACAGGACATATGCTGCACTGCTGGAGAACTGAGGAGACTCCCTCAAGACAGTTACTGACTTCTACTGACTTCAGCCCAAGGAAAGCCACATCACTCACTTCTGTTACTTTGCACTTCATGGCATTAATCAACACTGAGTTAGAAAGTAAATTAATTGCTGAGAGTACAGCGATTTCTTACCTCACTCAGCTTAGCCCAGTTGAAGGATTTCAGTGGGTGTGAAGGCTGTGGGATAGATTTCTTCTTCAGGCTGGTGCCACTGCTGTTGAAGCTGGTTGTTGAAGGGGGTGGCATCCCCATGCTGAAGAAAGGTGGTGCTCCTGGTGGGGGAGGAGGTCCTCCTGGAGGAGGTGGTGGAGCAGGAGGAGGGGGACAGCTGGAGAAAGGCAGAGGAGGTGGCAGTGGTGGCAAGTTCTCAGACATGTGAGAAGAGGACAAAGCTAATGGGCCTCCTGGAGGAGGGGGTGGTGGCGTTGGGAAGGAAATGCTGCCCCCTTGCTGGAAAATAAAAAACACATAGAAAAAGAAAGCAAACAGTTTAAAAGGCGTAATAACTCCGTGTTGCCAGCTGATGTGATTTTATTACAAGTCTCAAAATATTTGATGTTTTCTTTAAAGCCTCTTGCACTCAAAGCCATGCAATAAAGGAAGGAATCTCAGCTTTCATTTAAGAGAAAGTTTCAAGCTCTTGAAGTTGTGGAGAAGAGCTTGAAAAAAGGAACCATGAATGGCTCAGAAAAACAGAAAGCTAGTAAAAGAAGCCAAAATGTATTATTTTCTCCTTATGTGTGAAAAAAGAGAAAAGTTCAATCTTATGAACTTTTGAACTCCTGGATTTTAAACCTTAGGGTTTGAAATACTGAATACCTGTCATTAGGCCCCACAAATGCAAAGTAGGAGAGGGGAAGAGGGAATGAATCTGCTTTCTGCAGTGTCTAACTTCTCAGGGCTGTGTCCTGACGAGTTGAGGCTCAGACACACTGCTGGGACAGGAGTACCAAGCAGGAGGGAGCAGCTGCAAATGTCACTTCTGCAGAGCTCCAAGAAATTACAGATGCTCTTGAAATATGACAGGAATCCTGTTTCTTTACCAAATTTACTTTCATATTTGGGAGATTTCTCTCTATTCCACTGAAATAACAACCACGGCCACTCTACTCAGCAGTAAAAATTATGGCTGGAGGAGGGCAAGTGTGCCTCCGTAGCTCCTGCAAAGAAGGTGGTTGAGGAGAAGGAACAGAGCAGCCAATGTATTATCCATTCTATATCACATGTTCAGGGATTTTGGTCTCAGCTAAAAGCTGAGCAGCTTTTAAGTATGCACCTTTGTAGCTGGCTAGGCTAGACAGTCTCTCTCTGTCCTGACCATAGAAAGTGATGCACTCCCAATGTGCTTTTGTTCATCATTCAATAGTTAACAGGCTTTAAACAAGGATGGGAAAAGTACCAGTCTCATACCGAGAACTCATTAAGTTGAGCCACCAGGTCGTTCATCTGGTCCCGGGTCTGGCGCAGTTCCAAAGATTCCTTCTGCAGCTTGTCCTTCATTTTGTTCAGTGTCTTCATCATCTCATCTTTCTCCTGGGTCTTTGTCTCACATTCCCGCTCCTTCTTCTCTAGCCTGCTCATCAGCTCGGCATGATCTAGGGGGAACAGGCAAGTGGGACAGATGAACTAAAGCTCAAGAACAGGCCCCAAAGAGATGCAGGTTATGCTAAAAGAAAGCTGACTAATCTCCCAGTTCAACTAGGGATGTATAATGAGTAGGAAAAAGAAAACAGAGTCTGACTGTCTTGACAGAGACCTTCAGTCATCAAGACAGCAATGCCCAAGTTTCACTTAGACTGTAAAATCACTTCATGTGGGGACTGAGGGAAGGCCCATCCTAAAAAACATATAAACTGATCACCACAAGACCAAATGTACTAGAGGGAACACAGTACGGTTTGTCCACAAAAGGAGAAGTTGTGCCCAGCTCTGCTGCTCGCTGCTTTGTGACTGAGTCAGGATCAGTTTTACCTCTTTTGCCTCCTTAAGCACAAGAGGACACACTCACCTTTCCGAAACTTCTCTGCCTGGTCCCTCCACTGCTTGACTTCATTTTCATTCACCAGCCTGAAAGATGAAATTAGATCATTTAAACGTGTTCTGGGCTACCCAGGCTGAAAGGCAAGTGGCCATTATGTGCAGTGATCAGCAAATGGCAACCTGGTGAATTTTACATTTTTATACAAGGTCATACCAGTGGTCAGTCTAGTTCCAGATCCTGGTCTTTATTGTAGCCAGCAGCTAATATAAGTGTGATGGCTTGTTGCTCAAAGTCCTGGAAAGGGGTAAAGGAATGCCTGGAGAAAAAAATCCTGATATGTTCCATTCAGGTAATGCCCTCAAAGTGCCAAGTCTACTTATTTTGAAACAGAGAAGTCATCACTAAAATAATCATAGCTGCTGTGGGTTACAAATTACCCCGCCCTTAATAAAAGACCAGATTGCCATCTTTTTTCTACTTTCTCTGGTTCTATTTATTCTTTCTTACAAGGAAGGAGGATGCTTATCTACTGGGTAATATATCAGTAACAAGGAAATGCTCATATCTCACACTGGCACAGCTATTTCCTATTACTGACAGAAAATATGCAGGGCATCCTGGGGATTGATTAGATATGCAGAATGTGGAGTAGCTATGGAAGTAGAAAGTGAAGATCAGGCATGAGGTCTAAAATGAAGTCTGATATCCAGACAGACAGAAAGAGATCAACACCAGTGTATTTTTCCATGAGAGGAAATCAGTTTTGATTTTGGCTCATGCCTGTAACAGGGACTGTAAGATTTTTAGTACAGGAGAATTTGGTTTCATATGAAACTTATGTTCTATAAAATGCTCTTTTCAGTGGATAATTCAGAAGGGTAATGGGCCATGAATTACCTGCAGAGGCAGATGGATGGGATGAAGAGTCCAAAAGTTTGGCTAAAAAAGGACTGAGAACGGGGAAGTTGAGATGAGAGCCAGCTCATGTAGCTAGACTTCTCAAATGATGGATCCTATGGGAAAAAATAACGGCAGTGCCCTCAGCCAAGTCTGTGGGTGAGAGCATGCAGACATTTTATGAAGAGGTAAAAGGTTTTGTGCGCTAGGTGGGGGCTGCTTTCCACTATTTGAAATATTTCTAAACTATGTGCTCATTAGGGAGGAATGAGATATAAGTAGAGATGACCGCATTTCTTTTTTTTTTTTTGGAATATCAATGAAAGCTTTCATCAACATTCTGAATGAAAAAAGGCGCATGAAGAAGCCTTTTTATAAAATCATGGCTATTTTTTCTGCTCTTCTAATCAGCTTAACAGTCATTATAAGCCAAAGGCAAGGACTTTGCTAGAAAATATCTACTTAAGATGTCAATGAAGAAAACTATTTAGAAGACAACTAAGACAATGAGAAGCTATAAGTTAAAATAAGAAACTCCTCAGATAGGATATTTTATTTCCTAAGCACCTGCATGCTTATCGTATACTCGCATAACAGAAATAAACAAAATAATGTAGCTTACATTTTAATTATATTTTTGACATTGAAGTTTTCCAATGGAGTTGTATCTGGGTCATCTCCTCGTTCATCCTGAAGAACAATTTGCTGGAGTATTCTGTCCAACAGCTGCCACTGCTGGAAGTTTCCTCCATTCCTCTTATCTGTATGGAAAAAGACCAACCTATGAGAACATCCATTTCCATGCCAAAATGCACAGACTGGCCAACAGACTGGCATACCTTCCTTTCCATCTTCCACCTCAACCTTGTTATGTAGTAAGTTGCAGAACACAAAGTCTAACTCCGAACTGTCGCTAGCAGATTATTTACAACCACTTGGCAAATTGGAATAGCATGTAACAGGCATGGGCAACCCTGCACCCAATTTGCACATTCAGGCTGTGCAGCCCATTTGACAGATTAGCTCTAAATTGCACTTTAAATGTCTACACAAGTGATTTCTTTGTGATAGCTGTTACTCAGTATTTTCTGGGGCTTGATGCTGGGGGTTTTTTTTGGTACCTAGGTAACATCGTGACCAGATACTGTAAAAACAGATGTTCTATCTGCATGCTCAGTGAAACTCAACTGGCATGAAAAATTCATACAAACATGACCAAAAAGCCATGTGAAGAGAAAGAACCGAAATTGAATCAAAGGGTCTGATCCCATGCTTATCAAACAGAAGAGCCATAGCATCATAAAGCTCACCTCAGCCCTGTTGGTTCAGGACTGCTGGTTGTTTCAGGACTGAAAGCTGTTGCTGGACCTCACCTTCCCTAGGAAACCCTTCCATAGCCCCACAAACCCTGGGGCTCTGCACTTCTGCGTATAAACTAGACCTTTAATTTCTTTAAAACTGCTCCAATACAATCCTGTCATGGCCTAGAAGGATTTAGCCCTTCAGCCACCAAAAATCCAGGTCAATACTAAAGCTCAAGCACTGTCTTAAAGACTAATATCAAAGAGACCACTGGGACAAACAACTGTTTGAACTTACGCATGGCAGTACTTGAATCGAATGAGTGCCTGAAAACACATCATGTTACTTTCTGAAAAAGCCCACCACATGACATCTCCCTCATGTTCCCTTTTCAGTTTGACTGCTCAAGTACAGCTGAAAGTAATGAAGACCAGCACCTGATACTTAACAGGATCAATGCAGGCAGTTCTTAAGTGTTCTTGCTATGCCTTTGCACAGCTGCTACACTCTGGAAGCATAACTGAATTATTTTATTGTGGTTAACAACACTACTCCTACCGCTTCTTTTGAAAGCAAATGCCAATATTATTTTTCATTTTATGTTAAGGAGCTCTCCACTAGTACATTGCCATGAGATAGCAGCCTGAAGACTTACTGTGGCATTTCCCAGTGACAGAACAGCTTTCAGTACTGTATTGTTTCACCAGATAAATTCCTCCATGCATTTTGTTAATATTCAAAATGGTATCTATTTCTGGGAATTCCCTGATATAGAGCACAAGGGTTCTTTCATTTTTAAAACTTCTAATTTAAAATCATTAAAAGCTCTGTCAGTGAATAACTGGAATGTCTCCGCTACTTAGTTTTATTTGCAAGTGCAGAGAGGTCAAGCTGCTGCTCTAAGTACTGCAACAAAAAGCTGCTGGATGGAGTCAGTGTAAGATAACGAGTCCCTCAGCCACTGCCAATGGAAGACAAGGGCAGTGTGTGTCCTGGTATCTGTGACCCTGTACCTACACCAAAGCTTCACCTAGTTCTTCAATACCCTTTGCTCTGGAAAGCTGTGATGTACCCACATGGCATCTGCAAGCAGTGCTGGAGGATGGATAACAAATAGGGATAGGCATCTGTGTGCTTCAGTCTCTTCTTGATCAACTCAAACATCTGAGAGGCACTTTTTGTATCAATGTGGATCTGAAATGAAAGAACAAGAGAAAAACCATTAACAGTGAAAGCCTGGCTAACTGTGAAAGATCTGATCAGCACTAAGACAGGCAAATTTCCAGCAACTGTACCTCTACAGAATCTCCTGCAATGTCCAGCTCCAAGTTCCAGTGAGGAAAAGGCACAAGGGTTTTTGAGACCAGCATTCCCATTCCCACTCCAGTACAGAAAAATCCCCAAAGTAAAGGGCTAGGAAGGTAGGAGGCATGCAAACAGCCAGAGCTGTTCTGGAGCAAGTAAAACATTTGGGTCCTAGAAAGTGGTGGCACAAATAGTAGAAGCAAAGAGAGAAAGGGCTAGCTGTTCTGTATTGGTGTGTGGCAAAAGCTGGTCATGAAAAAACTGTAACTATTCTGGACCCTACAGTCTCTTACTGTTGCTAGAGGTTACAGAAACTGTCCTTGGTTTATGCTCATCTTTAAAATCCACCCAATCTAGAATACTGATCCTCTCCACAGGCTCTGAGATGACAGTCTTCAGGAGAGTTTCTTGCAATCTTGGGAAAATTATCAGAGAAGAGCCCAAGCTTCACCCATGGTCCTGTAAAGGTGATGTCTGAAACTAGAATGCATCTTAATCATCAGGGCTGAGAACATGAGAGCAGGGCCAAGAATCTCCTCTATTCCTGAACCTTCAGCCAAACAAATGAAAAAAAGTCTTTGCCAAAGACACTTGGCAGAAGCCCTGTCTGTGATTCTTGTTTTCATTGTTCACACATCACAGACCCACAACTTACTAAATGAGAAGCAGTGAAAACAAGAGCACTAGCCACTCTCAGCACCAAAGTCAATCATTTTCAGGGAACACAAAGGAAAGTGGCACCAAGCATCCAAAGTGGGTGTTCAGCTTTGTCAAGTTCAGGTACTCCAGAGAAAAACTTACCAAGTCAAACTGCTTGGCAAGTTCCAGGTCATCTTCATTTCTGACCATCTCAAAGAAATCTAAGTGCCTAAGAGAAAACAGAAAAACAAAACAAACAAAACCTGCCAATGTTCATGGCATAATTCAGACCTGAATTAAGCATGTCACTACAGAAGCAGCAACACCTCATTTCCAGCTACTACACCTGGATATTGGCAGCCCTTTCTTACATGAAGTGTTGGGATAGGTATGCAAGGCAACTCATGGGGGTCAGTGACAGGCCAAAAGGAATGACTGGCTGAGATATACATGCTCTTTAATCTTTGTGCTAAGTCACATTGTTGAACTAAGTCTGCTAAAAATAAACATAAAATAGGAAAGGGATATTCTATTTGTGATGAGTGCAATGCCTGCAGCAACAATAAATTTTTAAAAAGTCCATGCCATACTTGTTAATGAGGTATTGGACCATTAATGAGTTGTTTCTTTTACACAGTGGAGCAGAGGTGCTTTCAGTAGATTAGCTAAACAGCAAAGCTCACAACTGTCTTTACATTTGCCTATGATAAGCACAGCAGCATGCCTTTGTTGGGATCTGGGGGACCTGGTGAGAGACACACTTGACTGCGGCATCTGGACTTCTCTTGCACAGAGATCAGAGCACAGCAGATGATGTGGAGAAAGGCTGTGGCACATCCTCCTGTATAGTCTTGGTGTATAGTCTGTGTAATTCGGGCATCTGGGATCCTCTCAAAGCTCTGTTATCATTCTCAGGACTGTAACTTCTAAGATCCAAAAGTGTCCCTAAGCCCCTTCTAAACACTCCTAGTTACTGACCAAAGGAACAAGGATTTCCTGTAGGAGAGATTCTCTTCTTGGTAATAATGCTGTAGATCAAAAGTAACATTACTGGTTCCAGCTCTGCAGCGAACTGTAGACACATACAACTGCATGTGACATGTGACATTAATACAGGGGTATATACCTCCACCTGCTCAAAGATGTGAGGCCAGGTGTCATTACAACAGGGAGCTGGAGCTAAACTGGTGCTTATGCAGAATCTCAGGCACATTACATTTGCCCTCAGGGATAGCTCTATCACTGTATAGCAGCTCCTGACAGTGGATGGTTGAGAAAATGGTGCCTTAAAAGCTGCAGACATAGGCCTGATCCATAGGTTTTTCACTTTGTGCTTTGGCAAACTTGACGCTTCAATCTAGGAAATCTCAGATACCTACAAATCAGACCCACTTTGTAGGAAGGAGCTTGGAGTAGCAGACAATAAGGCATAGCAGCACACCAGTAGGTCAATGCCGCTCCAGAGTTTAATGTGGTCACAGGATAAGGTAGGGTCCCATGGCTGCCTGCTCTTACACCTTACAAGGCTTCATTTTGTGAAGTTAATGGATTTTACCCAGCTCCTCATTGGTTCATCAGTCTTTCAGCTTCTCGAAGTGTCTTAGTCAAATTGCTTAGACTGTTTACTCCAAGTTTATTTCAGCATGTGGCTTTGTGAAGGGTTTAATTTTAGGTCATTAGCATCTTCAATTACTGCAGCAAAATATGGAATTGCTACTGGAGAAAGCATTTATTACTCGTTTAACTTTTAACAGAGTAATTTGAAGGTGCCATTCAGTGTTATATTTGGTGCAGAAGAAGGGCTGTTTGAAGATGCTTCTCAATCTTCTCTCTTGCCCCCCTTCACCCACCACAGGAACCTCTTTTCTTATAGTTGTACCAATGCTGTTGTTTGGAAGATTGTGATACAAGCCAGATCACAAAAAAGACTGAGCTTAAAAGAGAACATTGGAAACTCAGAACCTGCACCTTGACCACACATAGTCAATCTCAATGAATTCAATTAACTGCTGGCTTCCCTCCCTCCTACCAGGACAGGCTTTTGTTCCAGTTTTGCTACAAGAGAAAAGAATTAGAACATTTTTTATTCTTTTTGTTCTGATTGCCGTACTCAGCTTAGAAGAAAAGCAATGCAGGAACTCCTTGACACAGCCACTGCCAATTCAGTGTGTATCTTTCCTACTCCATGTGCTGACTTTAATTTTAAGGACACATCTCCTTTTTTTGTCTTGAAGGGGAGTCAGTTTTAGGAAGAGACAGAGACAGCTTTGTGCTTCAAATTGAACCCAAATGGAGAAGTTTCTAAGAACTCTTTCTGTTCTCAGAAAACATGTCTTACCTGTCCAGTGTGGCATTCTCATGTCCTCTTAGCTTGTCAATGACGGGTTGAATTCCCAGCATTAGAAACTCATATCGTAGGTGTAATCTGAACTCCAAATTGTCCTTAAAAAGTAGGGGAAAAACAAGTTATTTGGTTCAAAAAACTTTTAATTACATTTAAAAAAATTACTTAAAGCCTCAGTTTTCTGCTTTTTAATATCCTCTGTCTGGACACCAAATTCACGGGATGATTAATTTCAGTAAAGTGGAAAAAAAAAACCAAAAACCTTTGCCTCTGTTTCACCTAAAAATAGTCTTCATTTACCTACAATGAGTTCTGCATACCCAGTCAGGAGGACAGCACACTCCATGTTGTTTTATAATGAACAAAAGTTATTAGTGTTTGTCCTGCTAATCCATTAGAGGTCTGACTTCTGTTTACAGATGAACAGTACTGTGTTCTTCCTCCTAGTTTTTATGTTTATTTGTAATAACATCACTATATACTCTGGCAATCTTGACACCTATTCAGTGGGACATGACAGGGCTGCTGCAGATAGAGACAAATACCTTGCCAGACAGAGCTCTTATGAGCTTGTTGTCTGTTGTGGTTTAACCAAATGAAGAAAAGCCAATGTAACAAAAGTAACACTTTTAATGAAACAAAATCAGTTTAAACTATCCTAAAAGAAAGTCTTGTTGATGGTAGAAAAACAAACTGTCTTTTCTGAAATGTCTCCCTTTGATATTTTTAAATTTAATTGTTTTGAGTTTGGCTTTGAGTCAAAACAACATTTCAAAACATTTCTGAAGGTAAACCAAAATGTTTTCTAAAATGCTGAAATCAAGGTGTAAATGCTATGCAGTTCTTAAAAGAAAACTAAACAAAAAAAAAACCAAAGCAAAAACCCCAAACAAACAAAAAACTAAAAAAAAACCCACCTCAAACCAACGAAACAAAAAAAAACCCTAACCCCAAAGCAATCATTTCAGTGCAAGTAGTCTATGTTATATTAGAAGAGGTTGGGAATGAAATAATAAAGAAGACATTCTAAGACTGATACTAACAATTATGCATTATTTTCTATGAATTATATCCACTCAATAACACAAGATTTGTGACTGAATCTACCAACCATTTCCAAGGTAAATTCATTCAAGCATAACATTTTAGAAGGCATTTCCAGGGCAGCGACTCACCTCACCAGCGCCAGCATTCAGAACAGCATTGATAAAGGACATGATGGCTGTTTTAAGATTTACTTCATCTCGGTATCGCCCCATGCTTCGGTCTAGCTCATTCAACAATGACTGAAACAGAACAGCAGGCTGGGTTAGAGGATATAATCTAATTTCTTGCACCATTTTGCATACTGTTCATGGAATATGCACACAGTCTTATTTTGATTTGCTATATATTTGCTTAAAGAAATTTTTTTTTCAAACAAGGTGGTTAGCAATTTTGGGCACACCAAAAATTATAAAACCAATGAAGAACAGCAATAGGAATAAAATGCCCACCTGATCCTAAGGAAAACAAAACAAAACAAAACAAAACAAGCTATTAAGTGAGAAAAAGCAGATGCTTTTATAGTTCTTGCCAACATCATCTAAGAAAGCAGCAGAACAGTGTCCTTCCTAGTCAGTTAACTCTGTATGGTGAATATGACAGGGAGTTTATACATGCAGAAAACCAGCATCAGATTCCTATATACTTTCTCCTCACATCACTCAAGTAATTTTCATTATTTTCTCGTATCTCAGCAGGATAGATTGCACTTATGTATACAGGGAGAGAGAATTCTGAAGAGAAGCTGTCTTTTGAGGAATAAAACCTATATGTGAACCTTGGAAGATTTTTTGTTGTTCCTCCACTTACAACCATTTCAAATGAAGCAGACAATTACCTACCTCTTGGTAACCTCCTTTTAGAGATTTGAAAACAACAGTAATATTCCCTGTGCATACAACTCCAAAGCTCAGAGGTGAATTACAGAGCTCTACTGGAAGCACAGTTGAGATCCAGTTTCCTTGTTACAGAACCATAGAATGATGTGGGTTGGAAGTGACCTTTAAAGATCATCTAAGTCCAAGCTTCCTGTAATAGGCAAGGACATCTTTCAACAAGACCAGGTTGCTCAAATCTCCATCTCGCCAGGCCTTGAACACTTCCAGTGATGGGGCATCTACAAGTTCTCTAGGCGACCTGTTCCAGTGCCTCACCACCCACATAATAATAATAAAAAATCTCTTCCTTTTATCCAGTCTAAATCTGGCCTCTTTTAGTTTAAACCCATTAGCCCTTGTCCTGTCACCACAAGACCTGGTAAAGACCTGTCTTCTTTCTCATAAGCTCCCTTTATATACTGAGAGGCTGCTGGAAGGTCTCTCCAGAGACCATATGTCCCCCTATTAACCAAATAGCAGGAGTATTTGGCATTCAGGGGCTATTTAGCACAGAAATACTTTTGGTCTAATCTCTACATACACACAGATATTTTACCATAATCTTGTAAATATCAAGAGACAAAGGAAAAAAAAGACTTGACAAATAATGTTGGTAGCCTGTGCCTTATACAGGCTATGTAGGATTAATTCCACTTGAATATTTACCAAAGAGGTTATATGTAGAAACTGATTAGCCATGAAAGTAACTCTACTTTTAGCTTTGAGCTGATGACCTATGAGTCTTCTCTTCAGGATCTTCTCTGATCAGTTCATAATTCCAAGGATGATTTTTCCTTACTGGAAGAGTAAGAAATTCCATTTAAGATTTGCCAGTTCTATTGTATACATCTCACTCCAGCATTAATAATAAATGCCCCACTCTCATAGATTTGTTTTGCTGATGCACTAGAAAAGACAGAATTCTTTTTACTCTTCCCAAGAATTTTGGCCATAAAGGCAGAATGAAGACAAAAATAACTTTTTAATGCTCAGCTCAGCAGACCATCTAAAGAATATTTTGAAGCTATGATGGTGAGTAAGGAAGTTCATTTTTCTTTAGTCAGTCTTCTGTTCCTGGCTACTGAAAGTGTTCATTCATAGCAAAATCTTTCCTGTGCTAGTCATCAGTTTCATAGGTCTATCTTGTTTCCTGTAGAAAATGGACATCACCATGGAGATATTTCTCAAGAAACAGGGGGAATATCCTCCTGCGCATTAGCCACGAGAAAGAATATCGTCCTGGCTTCATGTAAGCCCTTTGCTTGTTTTTGTGAAAAAAATCTCTTGATCTATCGTATACTGCTACTGACAGCTGTTATTATATCTGAGCTTATAGGAACACAGTATGTTCACTACGAAGCAAGCTTGATTTTATAAACTGCTTTTTCTTACATCTTCTAAATTGCCCAGCTAGCATTTGTCCCTATTCCTGGCATTTGAACTTTCATCACATCCATGATTTCCCAGTAGTTATGACCAAATACCAACCCTTTCCCCATTTTGTTAGAAATGAGAATAAGTCTTACATAAAAATACTTGAATGGCCCTACTGAGCCAGACTGATAGTCCAGTCCAGCATCCTATGTCTAACAATGACAACAGAAGCCCACTTAAGAAGTCTTTAAATTCACCAACAAAAGTAACTCTTCAACTTGACAAATAAGCAGAAGTTAAATAAATGAGAATATTTAGTTCTGTTACTGTCAGATTTGGCACTGACATCCAACCCATATGTGTCTTGTTGGAATAATTTAAGTAGCCATTAGTACAGAAATATCGAAAAGAAGGATGGCTTTGCTGGTTTTCTTCAAAGGCCTCATTCCTACCATATAGTCTCACGGAATTTTAGGAACATGTTAAAATCTATGCTACAACATATCAGATACACCATCTAGACAGGTTGAAGAATGTTAACAAAAGTTTTCTATTCCGCATTTCAGAAAGCTGGACTAGGGGCAGAATGCAGTGGGAGCCAAGCCAAAGTCAGAGCAAATAAACCAAAAACTCTGAGTTGCACTAAGCTAGCTGAGGAGCCACACATCTTCATGCAATTGTTCAGCTATAGAAGGAAACACTGTAAGTTCATGCAGCTCCTAAAGATCAGAGTCTACACCCACACACTGTGGCCAAACTCCAGTATTTCCAACTCATTGCAAATGGCTGAGGTTCAAATCTTCACTTGAACATTTCCTATGAAAAAGATTTCACCACACCTCTTGGCAGCCATCTCTGTGGCCCAATTGATCTTATGGTTGTAAAGGTTTTTCCTACTATTTAAACAAAACTTTCCTCACTTAATCCCATTATTCCTCATCACTGACATCCAGTAGGGTTTCATTCAATCTGCAGCAAACCTCAAAAGACTTTAGATGAGCCCTGAGGGGAAGCAGCAAATCAAGTGGGAATACAGGATTTTAATCGTTCCTTGTTAGCTTCTCTACTACAATTCCAAATTGATTAGATTTCTCCCTACAGATTATGGTCTGTACTGATGGTGTTTAACACAAACCAGCCAAGGGGGCTCTGGAAGACATGCTCCTAATCTCCACCTTTTCATCTGACAATATTAACCTTTCTTTATTCCTTCACCTCAAGCTGCAAAATTTCTAGCAGCATTAAGGAGGAAAACAAGAGTGTTCTGCCTGAAGAAGCCCAGTTATTATTTTCATTGGCAAGTGAAATCAGCACCTTTCAGACAGTATCTAACACCTAGGTTCTCTCCAGACTAAGAGGAAAAGTCTCCCTGCAGGGATCCCCAGCTGGGTGGATGTTTCAGGTAGCAAACTAGGCTGGAAGAGCACTGGAACATCCTGATAAACTTTTCTGGGCCAGTATGGCATTGTGACTTTGCAACATTAGTTTGGCTCAAAATATGGATAATATTTTACAATGTCATACTATGATGCATTCACTCCATGGGAGAAATGAGAGGAAGCAGCGAGCATAACAATAATCAGAAAGGCAACAGCTTAGGAAAGATTGTGCCCCTTTCACAAAGGAAACCAGTCATAAATAAGATAATGCAGACATGAACGACACTGAAACCAGAGACTCTTCTTTCTCAGTTTTCATAGCATGTTAGAAACCTCCATCTTCACAAGCACCTACGAAATTCACGGTAAAACAACATTTGCATGGTCACATAGTGAGCCAGTGACAGAATTACACTAATACCAATTTTGAATACATCAGATGGAAAAGAATCTCAGCAAGGACACCAAGGGCTCATCATCCTAACTCCACATTCCTG